AATATAGGCTTAACTTAAGCTCTTATTGAACGTCAAGAAAAAATCTACCACCGGTTCACCAAACTAGACCTGTACAGAGAAGAACCGGCAAGAAACTCTGCGGTCTTGTTCTTTTTGCTTTTTTTTGATGCAATTATACAAACTTATTTAGGTATAAAATCAGCAGCCAGGGGTCTTGCAAGTGCAAAGCAAGAGTCATTTCCACACATCCTTGTCCTCAATGTATTCTTGGACATTATAGTAGGCCCTTGCCATTAAGGTAGCTTTTACAAATTGTTTAAAATTGTTAATACTTCGTTGTTTAATGCATCTACCAAGAAACGACTTTCAGGTTTTAGCCAATCTAAACCTCGGTACTTCCTGAGTGTCACCACGGCCCCGACGCGATGTGGATTGTTTTTTCGTAAATACGTGGATATTGATCAATTTATCCATCCTGCCTTGATGGGAGAGTAATAAAATATCTATTTTTCGTTCCTTCTTGGCTATCAAGATTCGGCTCAAATGTAATAATTAAATTATGTAACGTCTAGCGAAGTGGGCGAGTACCATCTATTAAGATATTACCAAGAACATTCCATATCTAATGGGGCATTAAGGAAGCCCTGCATAGTATTTATCCAAATCCAGACCGAGCAAGATTTAGGTTCAGCAATCGTTCATTAATTCCTTTAACTGCTTGGTTTTTTATGCGAAGCCACGACAAGGTATTTTAAAATAGTTCAATACAAAGTTAAAAACACGATACAGAATAACGACGATTCTGTATTTTAATTATTAAATTAAATATCGGACAAATAAGCAAAATTTACTTTATTATCTGATACTCGTAGATTTAATAATGAAGAAATGGAGATACCTTCAATTTTTGTAATAAAAATATTGAGCTGTAAAAATAACATACACGTAATAACTATAATCAATGATAACATTAACTCAAGTTTGAATGAAATTCCATTAAACACAAAGCAAGTTTACAAGTGTAGGTACTTACTACCTTGCAATGTTTCATTGACGCAATTATGTATACATTTTAATAGCACAACCAAAAAGATCATTTTAAAAGATTCCTAAATTAAATTCAAAGGAAATTAAAAAACTGCCTAGAGATTTATTTGATAGCGGTTCAGTTAAGCGCCAGGATTAAAGGGTATTTAGCAAGAAGAGCAGCGGTTCTAACATTAAAAATTGGTATGAATAAGAATGAAAGTCCTGTTATCTCCCCAAAGCGATCCTAAAAGCATAACGATGGGGGAGGGTAATTTAAGAGGGTTTTGTAACCCTCACCTTTAAAGGCTGAAATTATTTTCACCTTTTGAAATGTCAACTTGTATTTTACACTAAGAATATTATAAACGCATCAAACACTTAATCTAATCTAATTCTTAATAAGGTAAACTAAGCCGTAGGAATTTATACGTACGATTATATCGAATAACAACAACTTACCTTTCGATTCGACTGTTCGAACGAGTCCCTTGTGGACTCGGTGATTTTGAAATTGGAACCGAATTATTACACTTCGAAATTCGAGAGCGTGCCCACACGACCGCCCCGACGCGCCGCCGAGGAAACACTGAATTACAGAGGGTTGAAATGGCCACCCCTCCGATGCAGGGGCTATAACTGCACGTATATCAAACGCTCCGTCGTCCGTGTGTCCACCTACCTATAATATCCTTTGCACTTATTGACCTTATCCGCCTTAATTCACGCCATTTTATCCAATTACTCCAGAATCGCAGCCCCTCATTGCAAAGTAAATCTCATATCCATCAAACTAAGATTTAGAATAGTTTGCCCGCTTCTGCACTCGTTACATGGAACAATATGCGATTGTCAAAGATGATCTCATAGGATTAGGATTAACCTTCAATGATATTGATCTGTGATATTTGCAATTCTAAAACATCTCTCTATAATTATACAAATATACATGTACAAATTACAATAATACAAATAATTAAACGCCTTTATTCTAACACTATTACTGCTCGCTTAAATGGGGACGATGAGACGTTATATAATCTATATTTCCTTCATTGCCTCTTTTAACCCATTTATCGTTAATGTTGCCAACATGAAAACACATAGGTGTAAAAAAAAGTCTAGTTACACGCTGTCCGATCCGCATGGGTTGTAATTTGTTTCCCCGCCCGTGTTTTCATGCAAATCAACCTGTCAACGCGATACGGCGTGCCGTTTGCCGCGTGATGGATGTAGGCAAAAGCAAAATGCCCAAGCGTATGCATTGCAGGGAGTTGTACGAATGAAAAAAAAAACTATAATAATAATAATAATACCTTTTATTATTCAAGTTATACACTTTTTGGCGCGTTTGGCAAGAAAATAGTCGTAGAAAAGCGCGGGATACTTGGAGTCAATTGTTATAATATTTTAAAGACAGTATATACAGTATACTGGTAAAAGTAGTCATATAGGAAATATCTTAAAAAGCACGCTTTACTGCAATAATTCATTAATATTATGGCTAATTAATTAAAGAATTATGTGTGGTTTGAGATTTAATCAATAATTGTCTAGCTGGAGGTAGCCCGAGAGAAGCCTCGACGTCAGACATCAGTATTGCTTTGGTTCTAAAATATCCATAAGTCTTGCGACAGTAAGGTGTAATGTCAAACATTAACATGCTATCACGACTTTTGACCATGACAGGCACAGAGCTATTGAGTCTCTTTTAGGGTTCCGTACCCAAAGGGAAAAACGGGACCCTATTACTAAGACTCCTCTGTCTATCCGTCTATCACCAGGCTGTATCTCATGAACCGTGATAGTAAAACTGTCTTACTATTAAAGAAAGAAAGTTAAGTTAAGAAGAAAAAAAGGTTAAGAAAACAGATGGTGTAATTTCTGTTGCCGCTATTACAACAAATACAATAAAATAGAATGAAAAATATTCAAATGGGGCTCCCAAACAAACGGACATGATCTTTTTGCCGTTTTTCTAGATAATGTCACGTCCCTTTGTGCGCGAGTCCGACTCGCACTTGGCCGGATTTTTCCTTTTGTTTACAAAATACGGCTGTCGCCAGCGGTCTTTCGGAACCGTTGCGACCTGAAAACCTTCAAGAAGAGTGCACATTCTGTCCCGAAATGCTGGCAACGCACTTTCAAACCCCCAGATATCGCAGATGTTCATGTGCTGCGGTGATCACTTACCTACAAGTGAGCTTCCGGCCCGTTCGCCCCCCACCCCCCTCCCCACCCTTTTCGATCTGGCAGTGGCAATGGCTCCTCACCTGGTGAATGGCCACTGCCACCAATGGGCATCTCCACAACTTGCAAAGACTTTGCGTGCTTTGCTGCCGGATTTTCTGAGTAGTATAAAACTAGTAGTATATTAGTGACAGTCTGTAAGGGAGGCCTATGTTCAGCAGTGTACTCAAACAGGCTGAAATGGTGATGATGATAACATTGCATGCCCCATACTTAACTCAACGTTTCAGCGGGACATAGCGTGGTTTTTCGCTCGTCCATTACACATGCGCAGTGCGAGCCAATTTTGAATATTCAATATTCACACGACACAAAGCTTAGGCTGAATTCTTATTTAAACATAAACCTGCAAAAATATCGCGCCAGCCTTTTTAAACTAAGTTAAAAATAACCTTCCCATACGTAACTATCAACGTACATTATTATTGTACCTTTATTATTAACCATAGCCCTAAACACACAACTATTGGTATTGACTTAAATCTAAAGTATTACACAAATCCGTAAATAAGTTTAACTAAACAATATTTAATCTTTGTTTAAACACAAGAAATCATTAGCTTTAAGTTAAATTTAATTATACACGAAGAAATTAAAATTAATAATTAATTTCAAACGATATAACCAAACCTTCATAGACTACTTAATTATATAGTAATATTATGAACATCTTCCATATAAAAAAGCCAGAAAAAAGCCAACAAAAGCTATATATTTTATCAAATACCAGACCTCACGTAAAGAAACTCTACTTACCGACTTATCACAGACAACGTTCAAGTTGCAGGAAGTTAACAATAGAAGAGTCTATTGCAACTATCTACTTGTAAATTATCACCGCAAACGGAGTAAGTATTTTATTACAAGACACATTGATATGAACATATTAAAGCAGCAAAGTACGACATCAAATTATAAGCCATAATATAAATAAACAATGACTTTATATGACAAGGGAAAAAGTGAATAAAATGCACTTAAAATTTCTTAACAATTTAACTAGATCGAAAAACTAAATTGTAATTAGACCGTGGTAGACGATTGTTATAACATTGCTGTGTGTATTTGATATTAAATATGTCATTATCATCTATTCAGTTACAGTAAAAGAAAAAAAATGACAGCTTTTTTGGCTTTTGTGCTTGTAAGAAATAAACTAAATTGATTTATTTTTGAAGTTTTTATTTGTTCTCACATGTAAAGTTTTAAACAAGAAATATAAACAGGAAACATTTTTACATGACCAAGTACCTCTGCAGTATAGCATAAAATTCTACAATATTGAATAAAATAAATTTACGTTGAGTTTAACTTTGAAAGGAGAAGAGAATTATCCTTCAACTGCTTACAAAATCGTCTCGTAAGTTATTTGCCGTCCGGTACGACCGTGTGTCGCGCGTATTAAACTTGCATCACACGAAAGCCGGAGTTGCTGCCGGTGCGGTGGCAGTTTGCGAGTCCTCCGCTAATTTATTTGGCTCTTCATTCCGGATTGCGCGCCCCGGCATGGCGCATTACATTTTAGCCGAATAATACTTAAGTGCTCAAGCCCCTACCATGTGAACGATGCTCCCAATATGGGATCACCAGACAAACACCTCTAAATTACTTTTAAGTGGAGGGGGGAGATAATAACCTTCATCATCACGGCCTCAGCAAAATCAAAAGACCAGCTAACTGTCCAGAAAAAAAACAGTTACGCTAAAAACAGTTACGCTGTTTTTGCGGTGCTCGAGCTATAATGTTGACTTATCACGAGCTCAATGGTGAAGGAAAACACCGTGAGAAAACGTATGTGAAGAGAGAGGAGAGAGAGAGTGTGAGAGAAGAGTAGAGTAGAGACTACAGTGATCGACTTACCTTTTACGCTTTTGCAGTATATGTTTTGTAATTTAACTTACACCAATGTAAAAACAGCACTATAAATAACATACAACAAACTCAACGTCTTTCCTTTACGCTTGTCTGAAAAGAAAACTAAAAGTTGATTTGGAACTAAAACCCGGTGGAAATTAAATGGAAATTACCAACGCAAGTAGTAAGGACCTGGAAAACTCGAAGCCTTCAATCGACGTAATTAATTACGCAGTGTTGCCTGTGACCGCTAAATTAAAAATTTATTTTATTAGGAAATCTAATAGCTATTCATCATCATCATTTCAGCTTGATCTGACGATCCTGAAACACCTGCATCCACAGACTGCGCCGCACATTTTCACTGCGTGCACAGCTATTGACAATGGTAATTAGGTGATTAGGGAGCCACTTACGACTTTTCGCATTCAGCAGTTTTCATTTATACTGCGGGGAAAATAAAAAATGAATACAAGGAATAAAAGAACATAAGTACAACAATATTAACTGAAATATGGAAAAAGCAACAGTGAATATGAAGCAGTAATTGAAATATCTTTCACTGTGAGAAACTTATAATGCGTGTTGACTAAGTTTTTGTACGTAGATTGTTGAAAAATTTTATCGGCGCTTCGCGATTCGAACCTACGTTTTCCACGTAGCAGCAGCGACTAGCACTAAAAAGTTAAATTGGTCATGGACTTGCATACGGTTTACGAGAATGCCCATTGTGCAATACGGATTTTTTATGAAGAAGTAACCGCTGACATCAACGGCCTCTAATCTTACTTACAGTTTTTCAGAATTCAAATGATTTAGATAATATTATGTTGAGTTTCTGTGCACTTCGATGTTGTAACACCTATTTATATAATTTACACTTAGATGCCAAATAAATGATTGAAATTGAAATTGATATATGTACAAGTAATTTTGTGTAAAAAGATATGGAAGAATTATTGATTTCAAATTCCCACCCGACCAGTTTACAAACTTATTAGTACCAACAAAATTTGAATCAAGTCTGTACCAAATAATGTAAGGAACAATAACAAACTCATCGACTCTGCTCAGCTACGATTTAACTAGCAATTGTTTAATATATCCAATGAATTTATGCCTCACTACAAGTGTTTACTCTTAAAACGATACTGCGCGAACGAATATCGTGAGAAATAAACACGTGATTTATTAGTCTCCCATCCCAATCCACGTCTGAAAGAATCCTGAAAGTCATTGACCGCAGCGCCATCTATTAATTAATCAACGCAGTCACGGTCGAGCGGGCACAGGTCCGAGAATATCAGTCTTAACGTGTCTCGCATTCTCCCTAATCACGCCCCGCCGAGGGCTTAACGAGCGCGGTATTAATGAAACAGTGGATACGAAACTTTTCCTTGTGCCCTGCACTAGGAGTGGGGAGTATATATCGTAACAGGTATATATAACTGGTATCTCGAGATAACAAACTGTACCTGTTACGAACAAACTTAAATAACAGTTCCTGTTCCACACAAATTGCTCCTCAACACGTTGTCACAAGCTTTTCTTTATTCTTGCATCCATCTTATAGCTTTGTTAGAAAGAAAAGTACAGACGTTACCATAGAGTAACATACTGTAATAGCTATTACACAAATTGTCACAACATAGTATGAAATAACAGGCTGTTATTATGTAGAAGGTGTTTGTCACTGTTAATTTTAAGTAGCAGGAACAGCCTTAACAGGTACTCGATTTAACCTAGTATAGCTCACTCCTGCCTTGCGTGCGTAGAGAAAATCTGACTTATTAAAACATCAGACGAGGATAACTCATGTAACATGTCGTTCGTGAATTGTTAAACTTATTTTCATTAAAATTAAATTGTTATTTCATTAAAAGTTTTCAAACTAACATAAATGTTTGTTTACGATAATTTGAAACCTTACACTTCAGACGAAAAAAAAAAGACATTATATATTCACGAAATATCGTCTGGTAACACCGAATTATAAGAATCTGGACATTTTTTCATCATACAATATAACATTAGACAGATTAATGAACTACGGGCTTATACACACTTTTAACACAATCTCACTTATAATACGCAAACATAACTAATATCACTTGCTTTGAGAGACAATTTAATTTATCGAATTTTTGCATTTATCCATACTAATATTATAAATGCGATAGTAACTCTGTCTGTCTATCTCGCTTTCACGCCAAAATTACTGAACCGATTTAAATGAATTTTGGTACACATATAGTCTAGAGCAGTGATTCTGCAAATATATAATAATGTTATTATTATTAAATTATATCATTTAAAAAGAAAAATATTTTTTGGCATTAGCCAACATTAAAACTAAAAAAAGATCAAGATTGTTAAATGTAGAAGACGATATGAGAGTAGCATTGTCATTTTTACGACCAAATATAAATGAAATTATCAAAAAACATCAAGCTCAAATTTCGCATTAAAAATATTTTTATTATGTAATTGTAATTAATCCCTTAATAAATGTTTAGTTATTATTGTAGTATATATTAGTTTATTTCGTATATTTGAAATTTTTGTCATAAACTATTTATGCAGTGTGTTGTAGTAAGTAAATAATTTTTATCTTTTTCTTTGTGTGCCGCCAAATTTTGAAATCGTTTAATATGTGCCGCAACAAAAAAAAGCTTGAGAATCACTGGTCTAGAGCCTAAGAAAGGACATATTTTTAATTCGAAAAAACTTTAAAATATATGTTTATTTTGAAGAAAGATATTTATTTACGCGAGCGAAGCCGCGGGCGAAAAGCTAGTTCATTATAAATGAATATTTCACTTTTGATACTGCCATATTTATTTAATTTCACAAACTAATATTACCCTTATGCATATTATCGATACAAAATAATTTCGATACTTCACATCAGACAAGCGTGCCGCGACTTTTTTTCTTTTTCACCTCACTTGTGCATCACCAAACTGTATCAAATGTTTCATTCTATCATATTATCATACTAGCGACCCGGCTTCGCACGGGTGCAATGCTGAATGTTTGTTTTCGACATCGAATTAGAAACCTCTAAAATTATCAGTGTTTCTCTACTATATTATGCATGCATAATACATATAAACCTTCCTCTTGAATCACTCTATCTATTAAAGAAAACCGCATCAAAATCCGTTGCGTAGTTTTAAAGATCTAAGCATATATAGGGACAGACAGACAGCAGAACGACTTGGTTTTATTGATGCATTAAGTGGCCACGCTAACAGGTAGGCCTGGCTTACCACAGTAGATGATACATATCACTTTGTTTTGTTTCCTTTATAATCTCGGAAACCCGTGTCATTTTGTTTTATAACTGACATTCCATAGCTACAACACTGTGCAAGCGTAGTTTAAGTACATTCTAGTACTTAAGCAGTGAGCAAAGCAAACCAACCAGTTTCAATTCATTTAACTTACATTTTGCGCAGTGTGCAGTTCACTATTATTATAGTCGCGAGTTGACTATTAGTTATCATTATTATAGTCGCGGAGGGCAAAATTGTTAAATTAAACACTCAGTACCTGTGTTCGGTAGCTCAGTTATTTCGCAGTGGAAGTAAGGAACTGTATTATAAACTTTAGAGTAAGTAACAGTATTATATACCTTAGAGCATAACTTGCCTTTTTAATATGTCATAATGTTTAAATATTTCAAACTACAAAATGGTTATATTTACCTTTACCTTTACCTTTATTATAATGCGTTAGTCACTCATTAAAATTGTATTATGTTGTATTACTTCTTCGATATTTCCCCAAGACATTATCATCGATGTTCGACCCAATAGGATATGAGTGCTGATCAAGATTTTGAAAATCCTAACAACATTGAAGCAATCATATTATGATACGAAGAGAAGTATAACAACCGAATGGCGTAGTCGGTAGTGTACCTGCCTTCTGCGCCAGAGGGTGTGGGTTCGATCCCCACTACTGGAAAAGTATGTGTTTTTCTAGTGTCTGGGTGTTTATATATGTATAATGTGTATTTATTTACAAAAGAAAAGTATGTTTAAGTATGTCTATCAGTTTTCTAGTACCCATAGTACAAGCATTGCTTAGTTTGGGACTAGAGAATGTTGTGTAAAAAGAACGTGTCCTAAAATTTATTTAAATTTAAAATTTAATCATATTATGATACGAAGAGAAGTATAACAACCATTTTTGATGAGTGAGCAATGCACCAAGGCTTGCAACCGCTTGAAAACTCATCTCGTGAACGTCAATAGATGGAGCGTTGGGCAAACAAGACAGCTGTGGTCACGGGGGCCAGCGCTGGTATCGGGGCCGCGATCTGCCTTGGTCTAGCCAACGCTGGACTGTCTGTGGTCGGGCTGGCTCGAAGACCGGAGCTGATAGACGTGAGTGTAGGAGTTTATTGCATATTCGTGTAACAATGTCACTATGCTTATAAACAAGGGTTCCACTTATTAGGCCTGGCCAGTACTTGCTACATTAAAAATAATATTATGTTATACATGAGTTAATGAGTAATGCAATGTAGTTACCGCCTGTATAAGGCTAATTATGAGGTCAAAGTAAAAGAAAGAATAGATGTAAATATAAAGTTATAAATGTATTTTTTATGCGAGAAGGCGGCAAGAGAGCTGTCGGTTCAACTGGTGATAAATTATAACCGCCGCCCATGGACATATGCAACACGTTTGGTTGCACATGGCTATCTCACTGTATGCACAGTGTGTGAAAAGTTTTGTTATATAATGTGTTACTAGGTGTTAATACAATTGCAATCCAACAACTACGGTATATACTAAATAATCAAACAAGTACGGATTGCAATGGTATTGACACCAATTATTAGATTATCTATAATGAGGATTAAACGTTAACTTGTTATCTATAATAACGCTCAAACCTTTGAAACATATTGTTTGTTTCAAATTATTATTTACTATATGTTAATAAGATTTAATAGAATTTAATTTGCGTGTACCAGTTATTAAACACATTTCAGTGTTAAGGTACTCGCATTTGAATTTTAATTCACCAATCGTTTAATGCATTTTAATCGTTTGTAATAAGTAAACCTCTTTATGTGACAGAATTACTCTGAAAAACTTGAAATTATCGTGTTGTATGTTTGAATCATTCGCGACGATCGTAATATATATATAAAATGTTGAAGACTATCGGACCTAATATTGAAACTTTCGATAAACCAGAAGAAATTTAGTAGGAGAGTATTTTAAAATATTGACTACACATAACAAATATTTAGATAACAAATGGATTACAATTTATTGAAAAATTTAATCTGAATTAATCTAATCTAATCCAATGCCCAATGTTTTCTAGGTTAATTTGGAAACGGTATTACAGCTTTGCGAAAAACTTGTGGCTGTATAAATAAGCTACAAACATTTTGCAACCAATGTTTTTTGTAGTTTTATTGAGAACTGACCAACTTGCAACCGTTGCAGAACACGGCTAGATATACTTTCTAATGACGGTAGTACGCAAGGCTTACTCAACATCTTATATTTCAATTTCATAATATTGAAATTGTAGCTCTGTGGCATAAACCTCAGGAAAATTTAAATTTAAGTCTTTTCTCATAACTATCGTGATGTTCTAGACCTTTACAGGCCTAGCCTATATTATCATACCAGTAGCAGGTTAAAAAAAAATTAATTAAGGATTTAATTAATCAGTAATCGATTGCAAAACATGATTCATGGTGTATGAATGTCATCGTCATTTCAGCCAGTGTGAGTCCACTGCTCAACATAAACCTCCCCCACAGACTGCCACGCAGTACGATCTTGAGCCACCTGCATTCATCGACTTCCCGCATATTTGCACAGGTCGTCACACCATCAAGTGGTGTTCGTCCCACACTGCGATGGCCAGTACGGTTGCCATTCAAGAACCTTTCTTCCCCAATCGATTATGAGTGTTACGAGCTACATGACCGTCCCATTGCCACTTCAGATAACTAATATACTATATCTAATATACTATATCTAATATACTATATATACTAAGCGGATGTCTTCGTTGCGAACTCTATCATGGGAAGAAATTCGATTCCTCATTAGGCCAGCAGTGGAGGACCACGTCTCCGTATTTCATCCCTGGCAACACAAATTGATTGAAGACTTAAAAGTCTTCAAACATTGAGTGATAGTAGGCCGAAGTTTCCCGAACGTTGCCCATCTGTGTTGAATTCACCTCTGCATCGAAGTTCGACTTACGTACCTGGACTAATTGAATCGTTCTTGTCAACTTCAAGCTTAACAACAACTGGTGATGGCTCATTCTACACTGCGATGGTCAGGACGGCTGCCACTCAAAAACCTTTCTTCCCCTTCGATGGTACTGAGGTGGTCTATGGTACTGAGGCCTTTTCGGAATCCAGCTTGTTAGGGTGGCTGGAAATCGTAGTCTGGAAGCGAGGTGACTCTCGAAAACAACACATGGACCCGGGACAGAAGGGATATCGGCCTATACCTTTCTTGAAAAACAGTATACCACAGTCCGCCCTATGCAACGTTTTTTAAACGTTTTCAATAAAGAAAATTAATAATATTTTAAATATTAATTACATCACTGCGGTATATGAATTAGCGGTACATAAATTGTAATTGTTACAAAAATTGTAATAAATAACTTAAACGCTTTTAAATTTGACTATCTTTGTATTCCAGAAATTGAAAGAAGACGTAACTGGAACCGGTCGCATACAATCTAGGAAGTGTGACGTCAGTGAAACAGATGAGATACGACTGAGTTTTGAATGGGTTGTAGATAACTTCGGAGGAGTGGACGTCCTCGTAAATAACGCTGGCGCATTATTTAACTCGGGGAATATGACTGGCAAGTAGCAGAAAATAAAGACTTCATCTTTTATGACCGTGACAGTTAACTATTTAAATATTCACAATCCGATATCTATTCATACTTCCAATATAATTTAACATTACAGATATTGGAGACAATAAAATTAGCGACAAAGACTTACTAGCAACCATAGACGTAAATCTAAAGGCAGTAGTTATGTGCACGCGGTACGCTGTTGCTTCTATGAAGAAACGCAAATTTGATGGCTATGTTATTAATATAAACAGGTAAAGTACATAATAACTATAGTTTCACTTCTTTTCATTCTAATTGTAACATAATTTTTTCCCTTATTCTATTCTGGTGCCCCGAAAACATTTATTTAAAAATACTAAAAAAAAATTGCGTTTTACGAATTCAATTTTGGATTACGTAGATGAAATCTATAAATTCAAATGCGTTTACAATCAGCATGCTTCATTAACTGTTATTCTTCTATCACCGTGTTGCCGAAAGTGCAATGACTCGACTGTAAAGTAAATTCTAGCAACAAATCTGTCTTGTTTTTATTTTTAACTCAGTTTCAACAGACAGCGTCACATCATGCCTTCGTCCTCAAATTATTTTATCAATGTCGCAATGTGCAACAGTTATATAAATGCTATCTCTAATACTTTAAACGTATATATCTTCTTGAAAGATATGAGGGTAGTCGTCACACTGCAACTAGTACCTTTAATAGTACAAGCGTTGCTTCGTTTGGGACTGGATAACGCGGTGTAAGTGTCCTAAATATTTATATGAATACTTATAATTGTTTATTATTAATGATTTCTTTGAAAATTCTAGACAAAGCGATAGTAAACCACGTGTGCCCGTGTATTTATATATCGATAAAACATATTTATTTTAAAAAAGAACAATTGTGGTTAAATATACCACCTACTCCTATACCGTACCCATTTGGTGGATATTATTATTGAATCCGCATGCCGGCACGGACCAGAATTGCTTTGACACATGATTGCTATTTCTTTCGGCCAGGCACTTTCTGAGCGGTATAAAACCTAGCTAACTGCACCGACAGTTGAAGAAATCTGCAGTTTATGATCATGTTTTGTATCGGCCCAACCTGACATTATATTCGGCAAACCACCTATTCTGGCAAATTAACACCAATTTCCCTCAAGTATTGTAGAATTATAATATGTAGTTGAATAATATGTAGAGTATTGTAATACGTATTACTAGCAAATATTTCTTACGCAAATACTTATATGTCAGAATGCGTTTGTCTGTCTAGGAGGCGTAATGCTTTCTCATCAGTGATTTATATTTTGCTTTAATTTAATGCCAAAGTGTTTGTGTTGAAGCGCCGCAGCACCTGAATTGATTTCGATGAATCGCTTAAAGACTGGACTGAAACGTTACTATGTATGACTTTAATATCACTATTTCGTAACTCTCTTATTTCGTTAAATATCATGTGACTAGCTGCGGTAAAAATGTACTGCATTTGTATTATTGAAGTTTCATTATCATTGTTCACAGCATCGCAGGCCACTACATACCTTTCCGTTCAGGCTTCAATATATACCCGAGCACGAAGCACGCAGTGAGCGCCTTTACATCCTCCCTGCTCAACGAACTCGCAGACTGCAAAAGCAAAATCAAAGTGACGGTAAATGAGTAAATCAGTAATCATCATTGGACCCTGCTTTAGTTCACTAGTTGGACTTAACTTGTACACAGGGAAGTAAAAAGCAGTGGGGTAAAAGCCCTAATTGTTTCCCACTAAGCATATAGCGGTTTTGTGGGTTTACACTATAATATTCCTATAACATGGTGCATGTATTATTAAAAAAATCACCACCTCCGTTCAATTCATTGATATATATGAGTGATAAATGCCTCCAAGCACGAAACTCTAACTCTACCAAGAGTAAAATAACGAACAAAACAGTTACTGAACAAAGTCCGAACAATAATTTATTTCCCCAACGATATTTTATGTACTTTGATGTTGGAAATCACAATATTGCAGTTAAAACTTAATTCCAAGGCATTTTGGTGCATAATTTACGCGAATCCTTCATGCCATAAACGATCTTATTAAAATTCTATTTCTTCAGAGTCTTTCACCCGGTCTTGTCAACACCAAGATGACTCAACATCATTCTACAGCTGAAGAAGTTCCGATATTGCAACCAAGTGACATAGCAGATGCAGTCCTTTACCTTCTGTCGACCCCACCATATGTTAACGTGAGTGATATCTCTTTAACGCTGCTATTTAAATGGAGCCCTGATAGCATAGTGTTTGGGCGCTCGTCTTAATTTGGTATACTCGAGCAACCTGAGTTCATACTCGTATCCCGGTGCGGGCAACAATTAAATGGTTAATTGTAATTTTCACGGTGAGGGAACTGCAAATTTTCGAAATACCTAATAGTGAAAAAATTAAGATATTTCAATCAAGACCTTCACTTACTCTGCAAATTTCACTATCATGTGGTGCATTCTGCCTTAATTTAATTTATCACTTATAATAAAAATACCCGTTGCAACAACATCGGACGGCGTAAGAGATTGGATGGATAGATGCATTGGTTTCGAATCTCCAAAATTCTAAAAGAAGGCCGAATTACGATCCTTGAGCGACTTCTTGCTGAATTTGTTTTAAACTGCATTTAGAGAAAATACGACAATCAGGACAACAGTTTCATTTTTGAAATGATTTAAGTGTGGGCATATCATTAAGGCCTTTACCATCCGTTGAGAGGGGTTCTGGCAAATTTACGTTTATAATTATAATTGATTTATTCCACATAACGGCACATTGTTTCTTTTATTCAAATTGTCAATTTCTATTGTGTAGCAAGAAATAAAAAGCTTTTTTATTTTATTTATTTATTATATCATTTACTTTCGTGCCTGTATGAGTATCTACTACTTATGAAATATTTTAGGTTAGATAAATATAAATTCGCTAGAATTCCCAAGGAGGGTAGACGTCAGGCAGCCAGTGTAAATAAAAATCTTAATAAAAATAAAGTCCATAACTGAAATAAAAACATGGTTCCGATAAAAAAAGATTGACATGTTATCTCTGACGACCTCACTTAATGCGGGATAAGGGCAGAAGAAAGAAGAAGTGATAGAGCATTACATAAAACTTTTGTAAAATATAAAAGACTCAAACGTTGTGACAGTTGGTAAAAAAATTATAACACATTTACATCACTCGAACAGCACGTGCAAAAGGAACACTTAAAGCTATCAACGTTAGGTTGGTGCCAGTACTGGGATTTGAATTTGGTATACTAATTACGTATACTGAATTAAGCCTAGCCCAGGCAGCTACTCATTCTATTTTCCACATATACATTTCTTGAACTTCAAAAAAATAACTAACAATCATCAGATCTTCGTTCTGTTAGCAATAATGCTTTTTTTTAAATACAGAAATCTTTACCCATAAATGTGACAGGATCCTATCGACATGAGGCATATATAATATCCTATTGATATGAGGCATAGACAATTTTTATCTTGCCATACGATTTGGGTAAGGATGATATCCCGTAAAAAAAATGATTCCCATCATTTCAATGCACATTTGAACCATTGCCAAAGTAGATAAAATTCAACTATGTGTATTTCTGCTCGGTTTATCGAGGCCGCAATAACTCACAAATAACATTTATTACAGATAACAGAGCTAACAGTGATGTCGGTTGCCGAAAAGAAACTTTAAGAAAACACAGGATGCGTACTAAAAGCGTAAAGGCGTAAAGATAAAATTACCATAATAATCAACAAAATATATAAAGGAATCTACAATTAACGTTTTCTACATAAGCATTATTGCAATAAATATTTTATCAGACTCTGAAGTGAACAATGAAACTTTATTATAATTAATCCTAAACTCACAAACTGACTTGGAAGTTCTTCGTATAATAGGATTTCTATTACCATATTGATTAACTGCAACGTGCATTAAAGTCGTTAATGCATTATCACGTTGGGGTGTGACTGCGAGATGACTTATGATATGCTGGTACTATAGACGATTAAGCTCGCCCGCCTTAGCTCAGTTGCAGTTCCAGGGCCGGATTTAACCGGGGTCTCCATAATAGATACACAATAGAGATTATATTTATATGTTCGTTAAATAATAAAAGAATTTATACTTGGTTTCACAATAAATTATTTATTGGAAAAGTCGACTGAAAACATTTTTCACTTTATTTAAATAATTTTGGGCCTTGGGCCCAAATTATTTTTCAAATCCTTTGTTTGCCTCCACTCTTTTGTTGCCCAGAGACCTCCAGACCTCAAAATCCGGCCCTGTGCAGTTGAGTTACAGACTTAGTTGAGAACAGCCAAATAAATCCATACGCACATAACATGTATATATTACATTGCAAGTGGCATGTTTACAAATGTGAGATGATTCCGGACTGTAAAGAGTGGATATACCTACTCAGAAATTGATTTTGTCATAAATGGTTTAGACTAACGATAATTCAAGTACATCAAACAGAAGTCCAGTGAATAAATTAGTATTTATATATTTATTACTTTAATCCGTGACTCTATTTGCATAGTGAGTAGTGAGCTCTTGCGCCAGAGGGTGTGGATTCGTTCCCCACTACTGGAAAAATATTGTGTGATTATATTTCTATAATTCTCATTAAGAATCGTATTCTCAAAAGATTTTTATCAACTAACGACCGGCACCAGCTTCAAGAGAAAGGTTAATATTATGAGGTGCAATGCTCATAATATTAACCTTTCTCTTGAATCACTCTATCTAGTAAAATAACCGCATCAAGATCCGTTGCATAATTTTAAAGATCTAAGCATTAATAGAGACAGACAGACAGCGGGACGACTTTGTTTTATATTATGTACTGACAAAATAATAGTTTTTAAGCAATGCACTTATATATATTTTCTTTATTAGTGTTATGTAGCTTTTAGTAATACAAAAATAATATAATAAAAAAAAATACTTGGTGGCTTTATTTACTTTCTTTATATTTCAATGCCTTAGATTGTTAATAAAAAAATTAAAAATATTTTTTTTTAATTTTTCCAACGGCAATCTTTTCTAAGACCTTTCAAGAATAGCCAAGCGTAGTAAACTGTTTACTGCTAATAGAGTTTTTGAAGTATTTTCTTTATTTGTTAAAAAACGTTTTTCTGAAATCTTCCGTTGTCTATCTCCGAAACTCATCATAGGACCTACATGAAATTTAAATGGGACCATTTCGGAATAAGCTCCTTTCGAGGAAAAAAAATGTTTTGCAAATACATGAAGGTTTCTATTCTATATAATTATGACGGAGCTATGCCCGAACATACATAAAAAACATATGAACATCCGAATTGATAAACTTCTACTCTTTGAAGTGGGTTAAAAAATAACAGGTAATGGCAGGTACCTACGCTTTCAATATGGGCTCTATTTATTAAATAACTACTTACTTCAAAAATCTACAAGTCGTCAGGCTGCTACTGTCTCCTCCTAAATTGAATACTTTGCTATGTTTCCTTTATAATATCAGAAATCTATACCTGTTACTTTAATATCTAATCTTTTTTTTATTCTAAACTGGCCAGCACTTGACTGCCATCCCACCGGATGGAAAGTGGCGAGACAGGCTAGGGAAAGATGCATCCGTTGATGTGGTAAGCGTGCTAGCTCAGTAGAATCCTATTCGCTCTTGCCGTGAAGACGCTTACATTGCTTTCGGACGGAAATACCTTTTCTAACTAACACTGTACAAATAGCCCAAATTGGACGTAATCATAAAATATTGAGCAAAGTGAACGAACCAGTTTCGTTTTCATTTAACTAACAGTCTGTGCAGTGTGCAGTTCACTATAAGGTATCTTTATTATAGTCGCGGAAAGCGAAATTATTTCATCAAATCTCGTAGAATCAGTTTTCGGTAGCGCAGTTATTTCGCAGTAAAAGTAAGTAACAGTATTATTTATAATTTAGAGCATTATTAGAATGTGAATACCGCGGCCGCCCATGGACATCCTGTTTCAGATGCGTGATAACGTTTTTTGAAACCATTGGGCTCCGGCCCCCTAAAAAAGTTAAAAGTATTATACTTCCACTTACGCCGGTCTTCTGTGTGGTCGTGGTACTCACTCGGACGAAGCTGCCGAGGCTGCTGCGTGGCTCTACCACCGGTAAATGCAAATAGATAATTGCCTTTTTTCATTTTTTTTAATGTGAAAAGTTGCCAAGCGAGCAGACAGTTCACCCGATGTTAAGTGAATACCGCCGCCCATGGACATCTGCTACACCCGAGGGTTTCAGATGCGTTGATAACGTTTAGCCGCAGGGAGGCGAGCGACATAGTTCAGTTTGAGCTACCTTCGAGGCGACTTCGGAGCGAAAACTAGTGTTCAAGAGCGATACCAGTGAAACATACGACTTGGCTACAAAATAGGACAACGTTAGTGCTTAGTGTATGGACCTAGTGCTTTGTGTTGGACCTAGTGCTTGAATAAAGTCTTCAAAAGAGTCAGCAGGTCTTTCTCTCCAAATCCTTCGAACCCCTAACACGTAACAACTGGTGTCAGAAGTGGGATTTGGAGATGCCATTGACTCCGAGAGAGGACTTCAAGGAGGGTGTCAGGACAAGGGCACGAGCTGTGGAGGCCACACTCACTGGGATCAAGCCCCGCCCACTACGGGACAAGCCCCGCCCACTGGCCCCACTGACCAGGCCACGCCCACAGACCACGCCCCTCAGACTCCATCCATTCAGACACAAGCCACGCCCACTCGGGCTCAGGCCCCGTCCCCTTTGGTGCAAGCACCGCCCGCAGACTCCACCCACCGGGCCACGCCCACTGGCCCCGCCCACTTTGCCACGCCCATCAGCGGCACCGTAACTTCTGCAGCCCCTGAAATTTGCTCTTCAATTAGGAAGTTTAATTGAACTAATTAGCGCTTTGCAAGAGTCACAAGAACGCAAGCTCGGTGCTTTGCAAGAGTCACAAGAACGCAAGCTCGGCGCTTTGCAAGAGTCACAAGAACGCAAGCTGACTACGATTCAAGAGTTTCAAAAGGCTGAAATCAGAGCGATTCGAGAATCACAAGAGCAACAAAAAGACCTCCAAGAAAAGGCGCTTTGGGCTATAAATGATGTTAGTAACAAGGTGATTAAACTTCGAAAAGATGTCGACGTAGTGGAAGAACGAGTTACCGGGTTAGGATTGGATGTTGAAAATGTGAAAACCGGCCTCATCGAACTACAGAAGAAAGTAGTGCGCCTTGAAACCACGGGAATCGCGATGTCTAGTGGCACTACTGAAGTGGCACAAGGACCAAAAGTGAAAGTGCCGCCATACGACGGCACTACTTCTTGGCACGCTTATCGTCGGCAATTCCAGACTGTTGCTACTGCCAACGGATGGACGGAAAAGCAATGCCTGACCGCTCTCACTGTTGCGCTCGGAGGGCAAGCTTTGTCGGTCCTGGAAGCACTGCCACGTACAGGAAATGGGCTCCAAGACCTGATGGAGGCACTTGAATCCAGGTACGGGGAGCGACACCTGAAGCACGTGTTCCGTGCCCAACTGCGTGACCGAGTCCAACGCTCAGGAGAAGGACTACAACAATGGGCGTTGGAAATTGAAAAACTCGTTAGGAAGCACACCCAGGAGCCGACACCAAGATGGTAGACACGAATATTGTTCAAGCATTTGTGGACGGAATCAAAGACCTGGAGGTCAGAGCTGCAGTGAGGCTTCGTCACCATACCTCACTAAAGGAAGCACTGGCGCATGCTTTAGAGGTCGAGGCTGTTCGCCATGACATACGGCAGACCCATAAGATCCGCAAGGTCTCTGAGGAAGTTAAGGAGGTTAAGGCTCCTACAAAGAAAAGTTTTGGAGCTATGTGTTACAAGTGCGGCAAGAGGGGCCATCTGCAGCTCAACTGCCCGCAGAAGGAGACCTAGATGGCAAGGATGAAATGGATCGAGGAACAAATAGCGGAGCTGAAGAAGCGAGAGGCTTCGTCCCCTGCCCGGAAACTAATAAAGCCAGTACTAAGGGGCGAGTACTGGCTGACACGGAGGAGGCCCCGATAACTGTTATCTCCCAGGCATGCAGCGGGAATAGCCTTGTGATTCAGGGAACTATTAGTGGGACGGATTGCAAAATGACTCTAGACACAGGAGCCTCTAGAACAATAATGAACCCTAATCTGGTAAAAGCCGCAAGGGGACTCAAAAGGAGAATTAACTGCCGGCTTCTTACTGCCTCCGGTCAGCCAATACCCGTCCTGGGAGAAATGTCAGTCACGATGTATGTAGGGGGGTCCTCATACTCTCATAACGTCATCGTTGGTGAGATAATGGATGATTGCATCTTGGGTTTGGATTTCATGAGGAAACACAACTGCAGAGTTAATGTCGCTGACGGAGTTTTCAAGTGTGGTGAAGAAGAAATCTTCATTCTTGGAGGCGCATGCGGGAAAGTCGCATGTGTAAAGAAAGTCATTATACCTGGACGAGCGGAAGCTCGGGTGCTGGTGAAACTGCCGCCAAATGGAAAGAAAAAGTCAAACAGATGCGTGTTAATCGAAGACACACCTACCAAGACATCGGCACAAAAACTGATGACGGCAAGAACCCTTGTTAGTGGAGGCAGTAACGCTGTGGTCAAGGTTTTGAATCTCTGTGATCGCGAGACAAAGGTGAAGTCATTGGAAAGTGC